TTAATGAGTGGCTTTCTTGTGCGCTGGAACGCAAACGCCTGCGAAGGAAAAACAAACTTGACGCCGTGTGAAATTCTAATGGGGTGCAGCGCTTCTGCGGTTCCTCCATTGTGCGTGTTTTTAACAGACTGTGTTCATGTCGTGCGTTTATGCCGGTTTGAGCCTGAGGTGAGAGTGGAGGATCCTTAGAAGTTCAGCCGCAAACTTTTCTAATGAGATATGAGCAGCTCTTTGTTTAATTGACCGGTGTGTGTGTGTGTTTTTGCGTGTGTGTATGTGTGTGTGTGTGTGTGTGTTGGCAGGGCAGCTGCAGGAGAACGGTCTGCTGATGAAGCACGTGCTCCTGGTTCATCTCTACGTGAGCGACATAGAGAACTTCAGTCAGATCAACTCCGTCTACTGCACCTACTTCACTCACAATCCTCCAGCCAGGTAAACGGCGCCTCGGACTGTCCTAGGGACAGGGAATTCACTAGGGCTGTGTATCACCAGCAGAGTCATGATATGATACATATCACGATACAGAGGCCACGATACGGGCCATTAGGGTTGTAATTTTGCAGGGTAAATTATTTAATCTGACTGCTAACATAATTACAATTTATTGATAAATTGTAATAATTTGACTTGAAAGGTCATTTTAAAAGTTTAAAAAATGGTCCTTTATAAAGGTAGATAAAAATATGCAGATTTAAGTATATAAAAGCTGATAGAACACTGATGAAAATATTGCTTCAGAATAATTGTTTACACCACCAAAAATCTCGGTGATGTGGTAGTTTTGTGGGGATATTTTGTGTGGAATATTGTCTGCTGATATGAAAAGTTCACTGTATATCATAGTAAAAAATATCCTTTATGACAGCGATTATTTTTTTCTTTTTCTTTTTACATTAAACACATTAAATATGACATATATGTATGTAATATAATATGTATTTCCATTACAGGTTTAGGTCTTAAATTTCATATAAGGTGGTATTAAAAAGGTCTTAAAAAGTCTTAAATTTCATTTGTTCATATCTGCGCTACAGGATTTCAGTCCTTCACGGCGTAGTGTGTTACCAATTGCTTTCTTGGTGACTATGGTCCCAGCTGCCTTGAGATCATTGACAAG